TGATTAATCTGTTTATGTTAATGTATGCCGATGACACAGTTTTGTTTTCGGAAGATGTTAACAATCTTCAGCACATGCTAGATTGTCTGCAATGTTACACTGATAAATGGAATTTAACTGTTAATTATGATAAAACTAAAATTGTAATTTTTAGAAAAAGTAAAAGAATCTTACCTACTGAAAACTGGACGTTTAATGGCAAGTCAATTGAGATAGTGGACAAATTTTGTTATCTAGGATTAGTTTTTTATTATAATGGAAGATTCACCGTAGCACAAAACACGTTGGCATCTCAAGGCAGGAATGCTTTTTATCTTTTAAAAAGAAGAATGAAAGATTTTATCCTTAATACTGAAACTAAATTATCTTTGTTTGATACATATGTGACATGCATACTGAACTATGGATGTGAGGTATGGGGTAATTGTTTATCGCCGCAAATCGAAAAAGTCCATCTTCTCTTTCTTAAAGATTTATTAAACGTTAAGAAAACCGTCAATAGTTCTATGGTTTACTTTGAGACAGGAAGTTATTCCTTACATATAAAGCGCAAAGTAGCTATAATTAAATACTGGTTAAATATTTTGAATACAAATAACTGTGTACTAAAAGCATGCTATGATGCACTACTTGAGCTTAATGTCAAAAAGCCGAATTGTAAACTTAACTGGGTTTATCATGTTAAAAATGATTTATATAGAATGGGTTTTAATCATATTTGGGATGTTCAATATGTTCCAAATGAAAAACAATTTGTGGAAATGTATACCCAACGTCTGCATGACGTATTTATTCAGGAATTACGTGGTGCGTTTGAAACATCTTCTAAATGTTATTTATATAGACATCTTGTCGATACTTTTAATATGCAATTCTATTTAGTAAAGCCTTTAACATTTAATACCAAAAAAATGTTGAGTCAATATCGCATGCAGGCGCATTCCCTTAATATCGAATCTGGACGTTATAATGGGGTTCCGAGAGGTCAAAGATTATGTTTTGCCTGTGACAAAAATGATTTAGAAGATGAGATACATTTTATTCTTATTTGTCCTGCTTACTCTGTATTGAGAAACACATACATTAAGCAATATTACTTCCGATGCCCCAGTGTGTATAAATTAATTGAATTATTGTCATGTAAAAGTATTAAAACATTACGTAGATTGGGTCTGTATTTAAAATATGCTACCGCCAAAAGAAAAACCCTCGTGTAGTAATATTGCTAAATTATGTATTCTTTTTATGTGATAATTGCTTATATGGAATTGTCCTCCGCCATCTTGAAAATTTGAAATATGTTTTGTATTCTATGTATCAATTAACCTATATGCTGATTTGCATTCGGAAATAAAAAACTTAAACTTAAAACGTAACACTCACAGGTAGTTTTAAAATGTACGTAACACTCACAGGTAATGTAAAATGTTCGTAACACTCACAGGTAATTGTAAAATGTACGTAACACTCACACGTAATGTAAAATGTTCGTAACACTCACAGGTAATGTAAAATGTACGTAACACTCACAGGTAATGTAAAATGTACGTAACACTCATAGGTAATTGTAAAATGTACGTAACACTCATAGGTAATTGTAAAATGTACATAACACTCACAGGTAATGTAAAATGTACGTAACACTCACAGGTAATGTAAAATGTACGTAACACTCACAGGTAATGTAAAATGTACGTAACACTCACAGGTAATGTAAAATGTACGTAACACTCACAGGTAATGTAAAATGTACGTAACACTCACAGGTAATGTAAAATGTACGTAACACTCACAGGTAATGTAAAATGTACGTAACACTCACAGGTAATGTAAAATGTACGTAACACTCACAGGTAATTGTAAAATGTACGTAACACTCACAGGTAATTGTAAAATGTACGTAACACTCACAGGTAATGTAAAATGTACGTAACACTCACAGGTAATGTAAAATGTACGTAACACTCACAGGTAATTGTAAAATGTACGTAACACTCACAGGTAATGTAAAATGTACGTAACACTCACAGGTAATGTAAAATGTACGTAACACTCACAGGTAATTGTAAAATGTACGTAACACTCACAGGTAATGTAAAATGTACGTAACACTCATAGGTAATGTAAAATGTACGTAACACTCACAGGTAATTGTAAAATGTACGTAACACTCACAGGTAATTGTAAAATGTACGTAACACTCACAGGTAATTGTAAAATGTACGTAACACTCACAGGTAATTGTAAAATGTACGTAACACTCACAGGTAATTGTAAAATGTACGTAACACTCACAGGTAATTGTACCTTTGCAATTTAACTACCAAGAAAACGTCATTTTTCATAGATCTTCGTAGTCCTCGTAAGTATAGGTTTAATATTTGTTGACTTAAAGCAATATTTGTTAAATCTAAATGTATTTTCTGCCAACAACACGCGAAAATATTCGAAAATCGACTTCAGTATATTTGTGTAGATAGATGCTGTACCTTGGTTTAGGAAGACCAGCTGTATAGTTTTACCCAGTTCTAACTTCAGTATATTTGTGTAGATAGATGCTGTACCTTGGTTTAGGAAGACCAGCTGTATAGTTTTCCCAGTTCTGACTTCAGTATACTTGTATAGATAGATGCTGTACCTTGGTTTAAGAAGACCAGCTGTATAGTTTTTCCCAGTTCTAACTTCAGTATATTTGTGTAGGTAGATGCTGTACCTTGGTTTAAGAAGACCAGCTGTATAGTTTTACCCAGTTCTAACTTCAGTATATTAGTGTAGATAGATGCTGTACCTTGGTTTAGGAAGACCAGCTGTATAGTTTTACCCAGTTCTAACTTCAGTATATTTGTGTAGATAGATGCTGTACGTTGGTTTAGGAAGACCAGCTGTATAGTTTTCCCAGTTCTGACTTCAGTATACTTGTATAGATAGATGCTGTACCTTGGTTTAAGAAGACCAGCTGTATAGTTTTACCCTGTTCTAACTTCAGTATATTAGAGTAGATAGATGCTGTACCTTGGTTTAAGAAGACCAGCTGTATAGTTTTTCCTAGTTCTAACTTTATCTTGTAAGAACAGTGACAGTTGTCACCACAGTCCTGGGTATCACAGGGCGCATGCGTATCGTTCCCTATTGGGTAGATCTACAAAACAGAAAACCATTTCAATATCATAGTTTATGTATAGTTGCCTTGGTTAATGTGTTAACTGAAACCTCGTTATAATGCCACAATTTCTCCAGGGAAATGTTGGTACTGTCAAGGGCTCCAGACCTTAATTTTGGAGAAGTATTATGGAATTATGTTTGAAAAAAACGTTAATGAAAAAAGTTTTACCGACATTAACTGCAGAGGATACAAAATGCAGATTTTTTTTAATTCCTCTACTCTGTATTATTTTTCTAATTACATGGTTTTTCTTCCCTCTGAAAAAAACATGAACAGAAAAGGAATTATTAACACTGAAGAGACGCAATATCAAACAGAAAAAAGTGATTGTTTACAAAACGGTACCAAACCTGAAAACGTGCTATTTTTCAGCAGGATTATTCTGATCTGAATGACTTTACCTGAGGTGGGGCGGAGAAGGGAATGTAGTTATGCCCATTGACAGACGGTGTAAATGGAACATCTGCGCCGGCTGTAAATATACCCGAAAATACATAAGGGATATCCGTACGATCCGGGAAACAGAAACTGTTAAATCATACAAGATTGAAAGGGTGACCTTTTAAATTATTAAATTTTGTTTGTGTATTTAGCTTCAAATGAATTAGAAGCGATTTCTAGTGTGTTGTTAGCGTGTATATCTATTTCAAACCAGCAACTTCTGAATCGTCATCCTCTGACAGAAAACATGAGATGAAATCAATGCTATACATAATGCAAGACCTCAATCGTTAATGTCCTTTACGTTATGGAGAGACATTTGACAAGTCTGCCCAGGAAATGAAGTTTAAGTGAGTCAAAATAAACCACTTTTTATTTGCGAAGAATTAAAAAAAAAACAAAAAAAAACCATAAGGGTTTTCTACCTACAAGAAAAATGGAAATTGACGAATACTTCGTCGAATTCTTCTGAAGGTTCCGCCGGGGGCACTGGATGTACCTCCATCTGCTCCTTAGTAGACTTCAGGTCAGATATTGGCATACACACACGATGATAGCTCTGAGGAAATTCTCTGAAAAGTCAAATAGGACCATACAGTTATTCTGAACTGTAAGGATGTGTTCTGTGGTTGTATTCAATACGACTCCATACAGACACTTAATAAGAGATCAATTACGTTTTTTTTGGACGGATCGGTTATGAAATCGGGTTAATATTTCGTTCGCAAAAAGGGGTAAACACCATTGAGATTTCTTTCATCTGAAAATGAATGAAAAATGTCAAAATTTAACGTTACCATAATCTACCCTTTTTTACGTCTAAATGTTGTACTTTTTGCTGTTATAAGTACACATTTCCTTAAAAATAACTATTGTTAGTGCCTTCATTAGACAAAATAACACATACGATTGATTTATATTAGGTGTGTACATACCCGGAAATTTGTCTTAGTTATTTTCCTAAATGTTGATAATAAAGATCATGTTATCTATTAAGGAAAATGCATGTAATATAAGTAAATCTATATGAGTATATATGATGGGGATTTATTTATCTACAAAGGCTTGATAAACCTGGAAGAATATCTCGGAGAGAGAATACTTACCACATGTTATAATGTTTATAAGTTAGATATTCCTACCCAAATGGACAGTTGTTGACCCTACCCGAATGAACAGATGGTGACCCTCCCCAAATGGACAGGACAGATGGTGACCCTTCCCGAATGAACAGATGGTAGATATTCCTACCCAAACGGACAGTTGTTGACCCTACTCTATGGACAGTTGTTGACCTACCCAAATGGACAGTTGTAATGAACAGATGGTGACCCAACCCGAATGAACAGATGGTAGATATTCCTACCCAAACGGACAGTGGTTGACCCTACCAAAACGGACAGTAGTTGACCCTACTCTAATAGACAGTTGTTGACCCTACACGAATGAACAGATGGTGGCCCTACCCTAATGGACAGTTGTAAACCCTACTCTAATGGACATTTGTTGACCCTACTCTATGGACAGTTGTTGACCTACCCAAATGGACAGTTGGTGACCCTTCCCGAATGAACAGATGGTGCCCCTACCCGAATGGACAGGTGTTGACCCTACCCAAACGGACAGTGGTTGACCCTACCAAAACGGACAGTAGTTGACCCTACTCTAATGAACAGTTGTTGACCCAACTTTAATGGACAGTTGTAGATGGTGACCCTACCCGACTGAACAGATGGTGACCCCACCCGAATGAACAGATGATATCCCTACCCTAATGGACAGTTGTTGCACCTACCCTAATGGACAGTTATTGACCCTACCCGAATGGACAGGTGTTGACCCTACTCTAATGAACAGTTGTTGACCCAACTTTAATGGACAGTTGTAGACCCTACTCTAATGGACAGGTGTTGACCCTACCAAAATGGACAGTTGTTACCCCTACCCAAACGGACAGTTGTTGACCCTGCCCGAATGGGCAGTTGTTGACCCTACCAAAACGGACAGTAGTCTAATGGACAGTTGTTGCACCTACCCTAATGGACAGTTGTTGGCCCTACCCGAATGAACAGTTGGTGACCCTACCCTAATGAACAGTTGTTGACCCTACCCGTATGAACAGATGGTGACCTTACCCGAATGAACAGATGGTAGATATTCCTACCCAAACGGACAGTTGTTTACCCTCCCCAAATGGCCAGTTGATGACCCTACCCAAATTGACAGTTGTTGACCCTTCTCTAATGGACAGTTGTTTACCCTACCCAAACGGACAGATGGTGACCCTCCCCTAATGGACAGTTGATGACCATACCCAACCGGACAGTTATTGACCCAACCTAATGGACAGTTGTTGCACCTACCCTAATGGACAGTTATTGACCCTACCCTAATGAACAGTTGTTGACCCTACCCTCATGGACAGCTGTTGACCCTACCCAGTTGACCCTACTTTAATGGACAGTTTTTGACCCTACTCTAATGGGCAGTTGTTGACCCTACCAAAACGGACAGTAGTCTAATGGACAGTTGTTGCACCTACCCTAATGGACAGTTATTGACCCTACCCGAATGGACAGTTGCTGACCCTACCCGAATGGACAGATGGGGACCCTACCCAAATGGAAAGTTGATGACCCCACCCGAATGGACAGATGGGGACCCTACCCAAATGGAAAGTTGATGAGATGGTGACCCTACCCAAAGGGACAGTTGTTGACCCTACTCTAATGGACAGTTGTTGACCCTACTTTAATGGACAGTTGTTGACCCTACTCTAATGGACAGTTGTTGACCCTACTCTAATGGACAGTTGTTGCACCTACCCTAATGGACAGATTGAGACCCTACCCTAATGGACAGTTGTAAACCCTACTCTAATGGACAGTTGTTGACCCTATTCTAATGGACAGATGGTGACCCTACTCTAATGGACAGTTGTTGACCCTACTCTAATGGACAGGTGTTGACCCTACCCAAATGGACAGATGGGGACCCTACCCTAATGGACAGTTGTAAACCCTACTCTAATGGACAGGTGTTGACCCTACCCAAATGGACAGATGGTGACCCTACCCTAATGGACAGATGGTGACCCTACCCGAATGGACAGTTGTTGACCCTACCCAAATGGACAGATGTTGACCCTACCCAAATGAACAGATGGTGACCCTCCCCTAATGGACAGTTGTTGACCCTACCCAAATTGACAGCTAGTGACCCTACCCTAATGGACAGTTGTTGACCCTACCCAAATTGACAGATGATGACCCTACCCAAATGAACAGATGGTGACCCTACCCTAATGGACAGTTATTGACCCTACCCTAATGGACAGATGGTGACTCTACCCGAATGGACAGTTGTTGACCCTACCCAAATGGACAGATGATGACCCTACCCAAATGAACAGATGGTGACCCTCCCCTAATGGACAGTTGTTGACCCTACCCACATTGACAGATAGTGACCCTACCCTAATGGACAGTTGTTGACCCTACCAAAACTGACAGATGGTGACCCTACCCAAATGAACAGATGGTGACCCTACCCTAATGGACAGTTGTTGACCCTACCCAAATTGACAGATATTGACCCTACCCTAATGGACAGATGGTGACCCTCCCCGAGTGAACAGATGGTGACCCTACCCTAATGGACTGTTGTTGACCCTACCCAAATTGACAGATAGTGCCCCTACCCTAATGGACAGTTGTTGACCCTACCCGAATGGACAGTTGTTGACCCTACCCTAATGGACAGATGGTGACCCTACCCAAATGAACAGATGGTGACCCTATCCTAATGGACAGTTGTTGACCCTACCCAAATGGACAGATTGTGACCCTACCCAAATTGACAGATGGTGACCCTACCCTAATGGACAGATGGTGACTCTACCCGAATGGACAGTTGTTGACCCTACCCTAATGGACAGTTGTTGACCCTACCCAAATGGACAGTTGATGACCCTACCCAAATGAACAGATTGTGACCCTACCCAAATGGACAGTTGTTGACCCTACCCAAATGGACAGTTGATGACCCTACCCAAATGGAAAGTTGATGACCCTACCCGAATGGACAGTTGTTGACCCTACCCAAATGGACAGTTGATGACCCTACCCAAATGGACAGTTGATGACCCTACCCGAATGGACAGTTGTTGACCTTACCCAAATGGACAGTTGTTGACCCTACCCTAATGGACAGTTGATGACCCTACCCAAACGGACAGTTGTTGACCCTACCAAAACGGACAGTAGTTGACCCTACTCTAATGGACAGTTGTAAACCCTACTCTTATGGACAGTTGTTTACCCTACCCAAATGGACAGTTGTTGACCCTACCCTAATGGACAGTTGTAAACCCTACTCTAATGGACAGTTGTAAACCCTACCCTTATGGACAGTTGTTGACCCTACTCTAATAGACAGTTGTTGACCCTACCCTCATGGACAGTTGTTGACCCTACTTTAATGGACAGTTGTTGACCCTATGACACTACCCGAAAGGACAGTTGTTGACCCTACCCTCATGGTCAGCTGTTGACCCTACCCAAATGGACAGTTGTTGACCCTACCCAAACGGACAGTTGTTGACCCTACCCAAACGGACAGTTGATGACCCTACACGGATCCTCCTCGGTACAGACATCTCTCTCGGTGGTCGGTAGGTCTTTGTTAGCACCAGAGTAATGGAGCACTGCAACTGCCTTTCCTGGGACTACTTCCTGAATGTACAACATGGCGTAGTAATAAAAGGAGGTAAAATAAAATAAGAATCCAAAAAAATCTAATGAACAATGAATAACAATTAATCAACAGATGAAGAATTATCATATGACACGAAAGGGACTACTTTCTGACAAGGCGTAGTAATATTTATAGAACTACCTTTTCTGACTAATGTATGAATACAATGAAAGACAACATGCTGTATTTAACTCTTATCCATTCATAAACCATGATTAAATGAAAAATTAGTCAAACTGACACTGATTGATTTAAGTTTGTGTTTATTCAAATTATCCTACCTCTCCGTTAGCAGTAGCCTCTAGCGTTTCTCCTCGAATCCAGAAATTTTCTTGGTGTGCACCTGCGTAGAGAACGATGTCGACACGCTCGCCAGCATTGACAATGATCGACTCCGCCGCCATGGTTACTACGTCATTTCCGTCGACAGCGATAATTTGTACGTCGTGCTGTGATAGGAATGTCGTGAACATTATACTGGAATTATTGATATGATATGTACAATATACAATTATGCTCAAACATGTTATATTGTTAAATATTAAATGGGTTTTGTTACATTTGTCCTTGTGCTACCTTTAACAATGTTTCGTCTTTACTAACAACATCTAAATGAAAAGTTATCTACCTGATCGATAGAGAACCGGAAGGCAAACAACATCCCGGCGTTGATCAACCGGAGACGATAGTAAGAGTTCCTCTTGACCTCGAACCATTCCAGCGGTAGCGCATCGAGGTCGGCATTAGATGCATTGAATGAATTGTGGAAGGTGTGGCCTAAATAGGAAATGACGTAACGTATGTAAATAATAGGGACGTTTTACTCTCTACCACCTCACGTGAGATGTCTGTCAGTAGGTTATCGGTTGACATAGACACAATGAGAACAACTATTTTGAGTGTTTAGATCCACAACTCAGTAAATATATGATAAAACTCGTGGAAATATGATATTTTACACTTCCCTATACATTGCTATGTTAGACCACAATTAAACAGAAAGTGGAAAAATGTATTTTACAGTAGGAATTAAAAGGTACTGCTCTACTCAGATAAAATATTGGAAAATTTTTGAACGATGTACATAGTCTTGTAGACACTGACAGGGAAAATAGTACTAACACTTCTGCTACTACTAACACCATCGCTGGTAAGTTTCGCGAATATGGACTTCTAAAAGTGAAAGTTATCATTTGCATTTCCTTTGTTAGAAACTGATTTTTTTACTTGGTGCTATTTACTCCTGAATTTTCCCTGAAACCGGGACATTGGCATCACTTTTAGGAGGTGTGGAAGTTTATACATCTTACGTTAGTCGCCCGCTAAAAACATGTGGAAGTTTATACATCTTACGTTAGTCCCCCGCTAGAAACATGTGGAAGTTTATACATCTTACGTTAGTCCCCCGCTAGAAACATGTGGAAGTTTATACATCTTACGTGAGTCCCCCGCTAGAAACATGTAGAAGTTTATACATCTTACGTTAGTCCCCCGCAAGAAATATGTGGAAGTTTATACATCTTACGTTAGTCCCACGCTAGAAACATGTGGAAGTTTATACATCTTACGTTAGTCCTCCGCTAGAAACATGTGGAAGTTTATACACCTTACATTAGTCCCCCGCTAGAAATACGTGGAAGTTTATACATCTTACGTTAGTCCCACGCTAGAAAGATGTGGAAGTTTATACATCTTACGTTAGTCCCCCGCTAGAAACATGTGGAAGTTTATACATCTTACGTTAGTCCTCCGCTAGAAACATGTGGAATTTTATACACCTTACATTAGTCCCCCGCTAGAAATACGTAGAAGTTTATACATCTTACGTTAGTCCCCCGCTAGAAATATGTGGAAGTTTTTACATCTTACGTTAGTCCCGCGCTAGAAACATGTAGAAATTTATACATCTTACATTAGTCCTCCGCTAGAAACATGTGGAATTTTATACACCTTACATTAGTCCCCCGCTAGAAATACGTGGAAGTTTATAATCTTACGTTAGTCACGCGCTAGAAACATGTAGAAGTTTATACATCTTACGTTAGTCCTCCGCTAGAAATATGTGGAAGTTTATACATCTTACGTAGCTAGCCCCCCCGCTAGAAATATGTGGAAGTTTATACATCTTACGTTAGTCCCCCGCTAGAAACATGTGGAAGCGTATACATCTTACGTTAGTCCCCCGCTAGAAACATGTGGAAGTTTATACATCTTACGTTAGTCCCCCGCTAGCAATATGCTCAAATACACCATTCTTACTGAAGATGTACCTTTCCCATTGATGAGTCCTGATTCGAAAGGTGTGAACCCCACACCGCCTCCATCTGTACTGGACGTCGTGTCATAGCATTGGGATTCATTTAAGCCGTAGGCATACCTGAAAATAGAAAAATAAGTTATTTTCCATTTCTTAACTTACAAACTTGTGCATTCCACACGAAGTTTGTACAATTTTTTTGTGATCATCATATAAACTGCTGCGGTCTTGGACCGGAAACACGCGCCACCATTATTCTACTTGCCTCGTGAGACCCCAGGCCAACTCTCTGTTGATTTCAATGGAATGGAACGGAAACCAGTCGTGCAGAAACACGATGTAGTCCTTTTCAAATGTGTACTCGTCGACCTTCTCCTCTGTCTACAAAACGTAAACATAGAGTTATAAATAACAACTGTTATCACCTGTCTCGCGGCATCCTAGTTTGGCGTTTATTTGAGAAGCTATATCTCACTGCAAACATAGATTTTGTTAGACAGTATAATATGAGTCGATATTTCGGTTTTTTAGTTAGTCAATGGCATCAATGATGATGATTTGACTCGATTGTTGATAAATTATCAGGTTTATTTTCACATGAAAGGGTTTTAGAAAATATGGATGTATTTATATGCTTCGTGACCGCGAGCGTCAAGACCGCCAAGGTAACGTGATCTCTGAAATTCATTGGTGTTACACGCTTTGTATTGCTGCTATATTTTTGGGACGAGCTTCAAAGTAAATATCAGAATCTGTAGGTGTCATTGGCAGCAATTATATGTATGTAATTGAATAGGTCTGCATTTAGCCACGGTAAATGGCCAAAACCAGTTACATGTTTGGGAACAAATCTCATTTATGAATAGAATCAGTTTGTAAATTCATTTATTTTTGCATGTTTTTTTCACAAGTTAATCCGACTTAAACATTATTCATACATGTTCCGTTATTTTTCTCGACCAATAATATCCGCCGAATAACTCGTATGAGATACAACTCTTCTGTGGTCACGCCGATACCCTTAGAACGTTAGACATATTAAAGATAGTTATCTCCCTTCCTATTTAAAAGTAAAATCAAGACAACTAACCTCTGGTTCAGGCCTTGGCAGGACTATTAGGGCCCCGGCTAGGCCGTCAGTACGCTCCACTCCCAAGTGAGAGTGATACCAATGAGTCCCATGGGGGTCAGCCATCCACCTACGTCACAAACACACATACGTCATAACTAATGTTGTGCATTATCAGCAGGCTATCAATCACTCTAGAGGTCAACCAAAAACGAGGGCGTTTGGGATATAATTAACCCATACTTATATCTAAGCGTATTGTGTTATTGTTACCACAATCAGTATCAATTTGTCTGGTTACAGACGTTCTTTGAGAGATTCCGATGAAATAGAAATACTTTTACAGTAGATTCAACCAAATTTTTGCAAGAGCTGTCTTTCTTTTTTGCCTACTCTTTCTCTATGGCAGCGTCCCGAACATTTGTCTCGTTACTCCATTGCCAGATGTGGCCGGATGGATTGTCATATCACTGTGTTAGAGTATTTATGTCATTTTAGGGAGATTTCATTTTGAATAACCTCCTAATCACCTGTCGAACTCTGTCGTCACATTATCGGACGAATTCTGTCGTCACAACACCTGAGCTGGTGAGATGACCGTAGTATCACCTGTTAACTGATACACGACTGTCGATAGTGGTCTACGTGACAACATGAACGTTGTAGTCAAACCGTGTTATATTTGTTAACTTCACCGTTAACGTGTTTGTGTCACATTTGTACCGCTCCTGTCCATACAACTCTGCCAAACCACTAACGGTCAAACAATCCAAAGTGGCGGCAATGTGGTGGCTCAGTCGCTTTGCAAAAACATATTGCTTAAAGCGAGGCCAAGAATATTAATAATATTTTAAAATTTAATGGCTTTTATTTAATGACAAATGTATCTTTATATCTCTTATTTTTGACGTCGTCAGCCATGGGTCCATGATAAAACTTCGCAAAACACCAAGACATCTGTATTCATTTTAGAAAGCCATTTTAATCTTCAATATTTTACTTGTCGACCAATACGACTACTGGACATCCATATAACTATACACTATACACACAGTTGATCAACCCGGCAGACTATTTCCCACTGGAACAGAAGGTTACATTCAACACCAGGAAAGACGGTATACTAGATATATCACTAACATCTCACCAAATATTGGTAGCCAAGTGTAGGCCAGTTCCACCATCACGCAAAGACTGGCCATGATGTGTAGAGGGGAATTACGCCTCCGGACAAAAGCAGACAGCGAGGCTACCCGAGCCGAGATTACAAAATCCAGAAAAAAGATTTGCTTAATGTGTTTTGGAGAATACCACTTGGATAATGTGAGGTTGATCCCATCACCATGTATGCACCATCAATAATATTATCTAACCGGCACTTAAACCGTTTAACAACCCGAAATATTGAAAAATAATCTGTCAAATCAGAAAAGGAAGGACAACAGGGCAAAAAATACCAAGAACAATTGAGATCGGGATCGGGGATACCAGTATCTTAGTACTTTGCTACAGAAGGAACCAAGGTAAGCCCAGAGAGATACATAAACACCATCATCTACGCTGACATCAAACAGGACACTATGGAAAACCGTGGATCTACATTACGAGCACGAAACAGGACCCAACTAGAGTGCCACCTCTGAAGCATCAGGATGGATTCCTTCTTAACGATAAAACCGAAACACAAATCCTCAGCACCCAGTTGAATTAAAGTGTACACCACACAAAACAGACAGCGTCACTGTCCGTATCACGGTATATTGGCATCAAAGCTACCAATATCTGTCTGTCCTAGAGGTGTTCACAATCTCTTGACATTATTGAATCCACATAAGGCGACATGTCTGGACCCTGTTCACCCTAGTTTCCTCAAGGAATACGTATATAAACTATACTCGATCATAACCGTCATCGTTTCAACCTCACTAAGCGAAGGTTGGATCACATATGAGTGGCAAAAAGCTGCCAGGAAACCCATGTCAAGTTAGGAGATCATTACAAACCTCAAAATACAGGCCAGTGTCCATGGCTTCAAAATTCAGGCCAGTGTCCATGGCTTCAAAATACAGGCCATTGTCCATGGCTTCAAAATACAGGCCAGTGTCCATGGCTTCAAAATACAGGCCAGTGTCCATGGCTTAAAAATACAAGCCAGTGTCAATGTCTTCAAAAAACAGGCTAGTGTCTATGGCTTCAAAATAAAGGCCAGTGTCCATGGCTTCAAAATACAAGCCAGTGTCCAGGGATTCAATATACAGGCCATTTTCCACTGCTTCAAAATACAGGCCAGTGTACATGGCTTCAAAATACAGGCCAGTGTCCATGGCTTCAAAATACAGGTCAGTGTCCATGGCTTAAAAATACAGGCCAGTGTCCATGGCTTCAAAATACAGGCCATTTTCTAATGCTTCAAAATACAGGCCATTTTCCACTGCTTCAAAATACAGGCCAGTGTCCATGGCCTCAAAATACAGGCCAGTGCGCATGGCTTCAAAATACAGGCCAGTGTCCATAGCTTCTAAATACAAGCCAGTGTCCACGGCGTCCACCTTAAGTTGTATCTTACAAAATACAGGCCAGTGTCCATGGCTTCAAAATGCATGCCAGTGTCCATGACTTCAAAATACAGGCCAGTGTCCATGGCTTCAAAATACAGGTCAGTGTCCATGGCTTCAAAATACAGGTCAGTGTCCATGGCTTCTAAATACAGGCCAGTGTCCACAGCGTCTACCTTAAGTTGTATCTTACGAAATACAGGCCAGTGTCCATGGCTTCAAAATACAGGCCAGTGTCCACGGCGTCCACTTTAAGTTGTATCTTACAAAATGCAGGCCAATGCCCATAGCTTCAAAATACAGGCCAGTGTGCATGGCTTCAAAATACAGACCAGTGTCCATGGCTTCAAATTGCATGCCAGTGTCCATGACTTCAAAACGCAGGCCAGTGTCCATGGCTTCTAAATACAGGCCAGTGTCCATGGCTTCAAAACACAGGCCAGTGTCCACGGCGTCCACCTTAAATTGTATCTTAAAAAAAACAGGTCAGTCTCCTTGGCTTCAAAATACAGGCCAGTGTCCATGGCTTCAAAGTACAGGCCAGTGTCCATGGCTTCAAGATACAGGCCAGTGTGCATGGCTTAAAAATACAGACGAGTGTCCATGGCTTCAAAATGCGGGCCAATGTCCATGGCTTCAAAATACAGGCCCGTGACCAAGGCTTCAAAATACAGGCCAGTGTCCACGGCGTCCACCTTAAATTGTATCTTAAAAAAAACAGGCCAGTCTGCATGGCTTCAAAATACAGGCCAGTGTCCATGGCTTCAAAATACAGGCCAGTGTCCATGGCTTCAAGATACAGGCCAGTGTGCATGGCTTAAAAATACAGACGAGTGTCCATGGCTTCAAAATGCGGGCCAATGTCCATGGCTTCAAAATACAGGCCAGTGACCAAGGCTTCAAAATACAGGCCAGTGTCCATGGCTTCAAAATACAGGCCAGTGTCCATGGCTTCAAAATACAGGCCAGTGTCCATGGCTTCAAAATACAGGCCAGTGTCCATGGCTTCAAAATACAGGCCAGTGTCCATGGCTTCAAAATACAGGCCAGTGTCCATGGCTTCAAAATACAGGCCAGTGTCCATGGCTTCAAAATACAGGCCAGTGTCCATGGCTTCAAAATACAGGCCAGTGTCCATGGCTTCAAAATACAGGCCAGTGTCCATGGCTTCAAAATACAGGCCAGTGTCCATGGCTTCAAAATACAGGCCAGTGTCCATGGCTTCAAAATACAGGCCAGTGTCCATGGCTTCAAAATACAGGCCAGTGTCCATGGCTTCAAAATACAGGCCAGTGTCCATGGCTTCAAAATACAGGCCAGTGTCCATGGCTTCAAAATACAGGCCAGTGTCCATGGCTTCAAAATACAGGCCAGTGTCCATGGCTTCAAAATACAGGCCAGTGTCCATGGCTTCAAAATACAGGCCAGTGTCCATGGCTTCAAAATACAGGCCAGTGTCCATGGCTTCAAAATACAGGCCAGTGTCCATGGCTTCAAAATACAGGCCAGTGTCCATGGCTTCAAAATACAGGCCAGTGTCCATGGCTTCAAAATACAGGCCAGTGTCCATGGCTTCAAAATACAGGCCAGTGTCCATGGCTTCAAAATACAGGCCAGTGTCCATGGCTTCAAAATACAGGCCAGTGTCCATGGCTTCAAAATACAGGCCAGTGTCCATGGCTTCAAAATACAGGCCAGTGTCCATGGCTTCAAAATACAGGCCAGTGTCCATGGCTTCAAAATACAGGCCAGTGTCCATGGCTTCAAAATACAGGCCAGTGTCCATGGCTTCAAAATACAGGCCAGTGTCCATGGCTTCAAAATACAGGCCAGTGTCCATGGCTTCAAAATACAGGCCAGTGTCCATGGCTTCAAAATACAGGCCAGTGTCCATGGCTTCAAAATACAGGCCAGTGTCCATGGCTTCAAAATACAGGCCAGTGTCCATGGCTTCAAAATACAGGCCAGTGTCCATGGCTTCAAAATACAGGCCAGTGTCCATGGCTTCAAAATACAGGCCAGTGTCCATGGCTTCAAAATACAGGCCAGTGTCCATGGCTTCAAAATACAGGCCAGTGTCCATGGCTTCAAAATACAGGCCAGTGTCCATGGCTTCAAAATACAGGCCAGTGTCCATGGCTTCAAAATACAGGCCAGTGTCCATGGCTTCAAAATACAGGCCAGTGTCCATGGCTTCAAAATACAGGCCAGTGTCCATGGCTTCAAAATACAGGCCAGTGTCCATGGCTTCAAAATACAGGCCAGTGTCCATGGCTTCAAAATACAGGCCAGTGTCCATGGCTTCAAAATACAGGCCAGTGTCCATGGCTTCAAAATACAGGCCAGTGTCCATGGCTTCAAAATACAGGCCAGTGTCCATGGCTTCAAAATACAGGCCAGTGTCCATGGCTTCAAAATACAGGCCAGTGTCCATGGCTTCAAAATACAGGCCAGTGTCCATGGCTTCAAAATACAGGCCAGTGTCCATGGCTTCAAAATACAGGCCAGTGTCCATGGCTTCAAAATACAGGCCAGTGTCCATGGCTTCAAAATACAGGCCAGTGTCCATGGCTTCAAAATACAGGCCAGTGTCCATGGCTTCAAAATACAGGCCAGTGTCCATGGCTTCAAAATACAGGCCAGTGTCCATGGCTTCAAAATACAGGCCAGTGTCCATGGCTTCAAAATACAGGCCAGTGTCCATGGCTTCAAAATACAGGCCAGTGTCCATGGCTTCAAAATACAGGCCAGTGTCCATGGCTTCAAAATACAGGCCAGTGTCCATGGCTTCAAAATACAGGCCAGTGTCCATGGCTTCAAAATACAGGCCAGTGTCCATGGCTTCAAAATACAGGCCAGTGTCCATGGCTTCAAGATACAGGCCAGTGTGCATGGCTTAAAAATACAGACGAGTGTCCATGGCTTCAAAATGCGGGCCAGTGTCCATGGCTTCAAAATGCAGGCCAATGTCCATGGCTTCAAAATACAGGCCAGTGTCCATGGCTTCAAAATACAGGCCAGTGTCCACGGCGTCCACCTTAAATTGTATCTTACAAAAAACAGGCCAGTCTCCATGGCTTCAAAATACAGGCCAGTGTCCATGGCTTCAAAATACATGCCAGTGTACATGGCTTCAAAATACAGGCCAGTGTCCACGGCTTCAAAATACAGGCCAGTGTCCATGGCTTCAAAATACAGGCCAGTGTCTATGGCTTCTACCTCATGTAGTATCTTAGAATATATCGTTCATAGCATAAACAACATGGACAAAAAAAGAGATTTGTATGATACTAGCTGAAGGACAACACGGATTCCCAGCCAGAGTATCTTACGAGACCAAATCGATCTCGACAGTAAATATACATGTAGTATTGCGGATTTGGAGCGTCCAATGCCTTTGACAAGGTGCCACACATTATGATGGCCAATGGATCACATATAGGTGAGCCAAACACTTCTAACAGATTACTCTAAAGCGCTTTACAGCATATGGATAATGGTATTAGTTATAATTGTGAAACAAAAACAAAGGCTTACAATTACTTTTATACTTAACAGGACTGCGACCTATGGAATATTTCGTACTGCGACCTATGGAAACCTTTGCTTTGGGAGGGTTTCGGCCACGTTGTGGAATAGCTTACCATCTGCTATTAGAAAGTTAAATACCCTGGCCAAATTCAAGAAGGACATCAAAACTCACCTGTTAACGTCTGCATTTTAGGCTCTTTGCAAAGACGTCATGTAAATACCACCCTTTATTTATTCATTGATGTGCACATTGCGATGATTATCTGCTTGCTTAATGTATACAAGTTATTGTAAGCCTTTGTTTTTGTTTTACAATTATAACTAATACTGTTATCCATATGTTGTAAAGCGCTTTAGAGTAATTTTACAAATTATATAGGGCGCTATATAAATGTTGTATATTATTATTATTAGTATTGTTATTAACGATTTCAAAAGGAAAGCATTGAATAAATACTTGAAGATTTTCCTGAACTCTGATATTGCTATTCTATGGTAAAATATGTGTACGGAAATAAAATTCTTTAAGAAATAAATCATCATTTGGTAAAATCGTTCTCATTGAAAATATGCGCATACAGTATGTAAACAAATTTAAAATCACATGCTGATATAGAAGTAAATGTGTAGAGAGTTGTCTAAACTGGACTTGTGTGAAAGAATCGTGCCATGACCTGAAGCCTCGTCCGTTGTTAACTAGCTATGTATATATATATATAGCTGACTAGGAAGTGAGCTGGTGACACACCGGTATACCAGAGTCACCTCTTCACCTTCTGTTAAAGCGTGATGATAGCGTGATCCGTGACACGAGTAATATACATATATACCCGGATACCTACAGCCAATAAATACCTTGACATTGTTAGGGTGCCTCAGTACAAAATACAGATAGGGCTTGTTATCAGCCCCTCCACAATATCTACATATAGTGAAATAGTTTGAAAGTAGTATATATCCACAACCTCAATTCAAAAACCTCACCTGAAATTATTAAGCACTACCCTGTACGTAAAGCTCTCCCCGGGGTTGATTGGACAGTGATACACGATCCCTATCCCTAGCCCCGCCCACCTACATGTACGTAAAGCTCTCCCCGGGGTTGATTGGACAAAGGGACAAGGTCCCTACCCCTAGCCCCGCCCACCTACATGAATGTGAAACTCTCCCCGGGGTTCATTGGACAGTAGGACACGGTCCCCACCCAAGCCCCACCAACGTATCTGTACGTGAAGCTCTCCTTGGGGTTGATTGGACAGTGGAACACGGTCCCCGTCTCTAGCCGCTCTCCCCGGGGTTGATTGGACAGTGGGACACGGTCCCCACCCCTAGCCCCGGCCATTTACCTGTATGTGAAGCTCTCCCCGGGGTTGATTGGACAGTGGGACACGGTCCCCACCCCTAGCCCCGGCCATTTACCTGTATGTGAAGCTCTCCCCGGGGTTGATTGGACAGTGGGACACGGTCCCCACCCCTAGCCCCGGCCATTTACCTGTATGTGAAGCTCTCCCCGGGGTTGATTGGACAGTGGGACACGGTCCCCACCCCTAGCCCCGGCCATTTACCTGTATGTGAAGCTCTCCCCGGGGTTGATTGGACAGTGGGACACGGTCCCCACCCCTAGCCCCGGCCATTTACCTGTATGTGAAGCTCTCCCCGGGGTTGATTGGACAGTGGGACACGGTCCCCACCCCTAGCCCCGGCCATTTACCTGTATGTGAAGCTCTCCCCGGGGTTGATTGGACAGTGGGACACGGTCCCCACCCCTAGCCCCGGCCATTTACCTGTATGTGAAGCTCTCCCCGGGGTTGATTGGACAGTGGGACACGGTCCCCACCCCTAGCCCCGGCCATTTACCTGTATGTGAAGCTCTCCCCGGGGTTGATTGGACAGTGGGACACGGTCCCCACCCCTAGCCCCGGCCATTTACCTGTATGTGAAGCTCTCCCCTGGGTTGATTGGACAGTGGGACACGGTCCCCACCCCTAGCCCCGGCCATTTACCTGTATGTGAAGCTTTCCCCGGGGTTGATTGAACAGTGGTCACGGTCCCCGTCTCTAGCCCCTCTCCCCGGGGTTGATTGCACAGTGGAACACGGTCCCCACCCCTATCCCCGCCCACTTACCTGTTTGTGAAGCTCTCCCCGGGGTTGATTGAACAGTGGCACACGGTCCCCACCCCTAGCCCCGGTCATTTACCTGTATGTGAAGCTTTCCCCGGGGTTGATTGAACAGTGGGTCACGGTCCCCGTCTCTAGCCCCTCGCCCCGGGGTTGATTGGACAGTGGGACACGGTCCCCACCCCTAGCCCCGGTCATTTACCTGTATGTGAAGCTTTCCCCGGGGTTGATTCAACAGTGGGTCACGGTCCCCGTCTCTAGCCCCTCGCCCCGGGGTTGATTGGACAGTGGGACACGGTCCCCCCTCCTAGCCCCGCCCACCTACATGTACGTAAAGCTCTCCCGGGGTTGATTGGGCAGTGAGAAACGGTCCCTACCCCTAGCCCCGCCCACCTACCCGTACGTAAAGTTCTCCCCGGGGTTGATTGGACAGTGGAACACGGTCCCCACCCCTATCCCCGCTCATTTACTTGTATGTGAAGCTCTCCCCGGGGTTGATTGGACAGTGGGACACGGTCCCCACCCCTAGCCCCGCCCACCTACATGTACGTAAAGCTCTCCCGGGGTTGATTGGACAGTGGGCCACGGTCCCCACCCCTAGCCCCGCCCACCTACATGTACGTAAAGCTCTCCCGGGGTGGATTGGACAGTGGGACACGGTCCCCACCCCTAGCCCCGGCCATTTACCTGTACGTGAAGCTCTCCCCTGGGTTGATTGGACAGTGGGACACGGTCCCCACCCCATCCATCCAGGGTGTCAGCCACTGTACCATGCCGTGCCAGTGTATCGTGATTCCCTCGTACATAAGATTGTTCTGGATCTTCACAACCACCTTAAACAAGAAACAATACAAACACGTGATAAAGGTCTCCAACAGTCAGTCAAAACTGATCTGATCGCCTTGATGTAGTCATCATTTCTTCGATTCGAATTCATAAGAGCGAAGCTCTCAGGCACCCGAGCGGAGCTCTTTACCGGTAATATGTGCGTTTAAATAGATCTGATCCAAACTTCCATCACTAAATCGTACAGCTACAGCCTAGAAACTTTTCGTACTTCCGGTGACCTCTTCCGGTTCATGGAGACCGTAAATATACCTAATCGAATAATAAAGCGACATTTAACGTAGCAGGAAAATTATGTCGAACCAACGAATTTAAAAAAAAATATTGACCATATTCAATACACTGGGCGTGTTTATTTCCACGCTTTCTTTCCTTTTGTATCGAAAAGAGAAATGATTGTCATGATCATTAAAAAGCTTACATGAATACCACAAGCTGATGGCGTCGAAGAGTGCGTAATAATGTGATAAGATGACAAACTATATTACCGTCGATTAAATTAGCTTAAATTTTGGAAAGAAATAGATAATTTGATACTGACAACTTTCTAAACATACACATTTTCCATCTAAATATTGATAATCGATCGTAACACATTCCCACTAGGGCGGAAATACCCGAGTATGTACGAAGCAGAGTCAATGACGAGGTCGCTTGGTTCATTGACGAGGTCAAAGTTCACAGGTCGTCTAAATTTTTCCATTTGGGGATCGTTTCTGTTGAAATTTTATTTGATCCAAATTTGTGATATTACCTTTAGATTTTACAACTAAAACTGTGGAATTTCAATGCTTGATCTGCTTGTACAATTTATTGAATCTAGTTTCATCTAATGCAACCAAATTAACAATCACTTAAAAAAGACAAACATTATCTGTACAGTTTTGTACAGTAAATGTCTTTATTGATTTTAGATAAATATAAACTTTAAACGCTTGACAACTTGTACTTCCGTTCAACTGTAAAAATCATTACAGAATTTGATTAGACATTGAAGTTAACACATTAGTTTGCTATGCTTTATGAATATCAGTAAAGAAGAGAATTAGAAACATTATATTTTCACAACTTTTATTTTTGTTAACAGATTGCATAATTACGACTGTCAGCAACCATTTCTAATAAAAATCAAAACTATTCTGCATATGATGTACCTGGTGATGGCAATTATTTGTATTCAACCACATTTAACACCAATATTGACTCAAGAACAATAAGTCCATCATGAAACTGACATCAATGCCATCAACACAATCATCACTGAACACAACACAAAATCTTTGACCCTCAAATTTGACAATGACATAATAAGGGTATCAATCAAACATCGAGGAAAACATGGTCAAAATCGAACAAAAGATATCACAAAGAATGATTACACAAAGTTATACGATGGTGTCCATCCAGAAACTTCACTTGCAAACAAATGGTTTTAGCTGATATGCCAATCCATCTCTGGGTATCTACAAAAACTTTATGACAACAGCGATGATGAAGAGGAGGAATCTACAGCAGTAGATACCTGGATTTTTTAACGTATATACTCAGTACAAACATTAAATTTCATCATTTCACATGGATTATCTGAATTATTAAAAAGAAATCTAAAATCTTCATTTTATACTTATAGTGGTTGGAGACGTGACAGTCCCTAACCTGCTGTGTCTAACATGCTAAATATATTTAAATTAAAAACGGATACATCCTTCATGAATTGGCATATCAGCTCAAACCATTTGTTTAAACATTCTGCCTACAACTCACATTATCATGTTTACTTTATGATTTTTTTTCAAATGGCATTTGTTTGAATAAAAAAATAATACATATTATAATGAACATACATAAGTAGAGGGAGGGGGTATATACTGGTAGTCTTGGATAAAAAAAGAACAAAATGATGATTCTATTACTATCAATATGGTCTAGTAGTACTGTAGTACAATCAGTCAACTTCAAACTAACATGTGAAGCGTCATATTAGTGTAGTGTGAATGTGGATCATTCTAAAACAGAGCACACAGAAGTACAAGGATGAATGATTTGCCCAGCAACAGATTCAAGTATATTATAAAAAAAACAATTACAGGTACATTTTGTAAGTATAAAAAATGGGTATGTTACGATTCAAAAAGAATACCGTATAATACTATTGGAACAAATGTACGAGCTTCGCTCTCTCCAGGCCATGCCTGAGTCATATTACCACGCACATTCAACGCTTTGCTCTGCAGGCCACTATAGCTTTTGAGAATGAAAGCAAAAACTCTCGTGATGTAACACGTGGTTACTTATAACGTCATAAATTAACATTGTTCTATGAGAGTCTTGTCGCTTCGCTTCGAAAAACATGGAGAAATGCCACTGCGTCAAACACTCAAATAACTACGGTTAATTATTGGCGCCAATTTCATTTAAATATGGCTATTACGCACATGTCGTTTATAGGACGACGCATATACAAAACGCAGTAAATAAATGAATAATAATAATAAAAAAAAGCTGTTCTAAAGTAAAAATGTAAATATTTGGATTGAACGGGCGTTGTTTTAATTTTCATGCCGGTATGAATATTTAAAAATAACGTTCAATCCATACATAGAACCGCCAGCAAGTCTGAATTCTGCTGAGATGTGAAAACCCGAAAAGGATGCTAGGGTAGTTTAGTTTTGCTGATTAAAGTATTACCTGTTGATCTTCGTATACCACAACGGACGGTCCGGGCACTTGACCATTTATGGCATACACGACCTTGTAACTACCGTCAGCCATGATAGTATTTTTCATTTCTAAAAACAATGAAAATAAAATATTTTTTATTAGCGGACTACCTAACATATATCTGCACAATGTATCAAGGTACTCGCCACATAGATATACTAAGTGTAAGCACGGTCTTTGTGAGGTCATTGGGTTACTGACCATAACATTTCAAAGCCTCTTTTAAAAGCGATAACGGTGTTGTAGTGAACAAGGTTGCTGGCATTTGGGCTGGGCGATTAGACCTGCCGGACATGTCACGAGTCATAAATTGTCTTCCTGTGTACTTTGCCTTTCTACGTTACTTAGCAGACAAAGTTGCATTTCTTCAAGTTCTGCATCAAGAGGTCTTACGCAAAGACACCTGGAATCGATCGAGGCTGGATGAACGGAACAATAGTTGACATAGAAGGGGGCTCAGACCGAGGTCGGCAATTTAAGTTATGCATTCCACATCTTACCATTCAAATAGAGGAATTCAAATGAGTTCTCATTCCTTATGTTTTCTTTTATTAAAAGATGAGCTACAACGAGTCTGATACAGATGTTAGAATAAATAGGTACGAGTTTAAAGTTGTATCTATCGTATGGTCAAGACTTGTTTAATTGTAAGTTTTATAGTAATAAGACTTGAAAAATCATTTTCCCCACTTTTTCGTGTGTTTTGTGACGTCATGGTGTTGTTCCTTATGGGGTCACATTGGGTGATGTATTATACACGTAATGAATATTGTGAAATATTAAAAAAAAACACCGATGAGCAGAGTATTGGATAAACATATTTTTTAGTTAATCATTATATTTTTTTCGAATGACTTTTCATCATATTTTTTTTTTGATAATGGATGTATCTAATAATAGTTATTTCACCTGCTTCTGTCAGTGGCTCGTAGTCGTCACATCCAGTTCGTTTGAAAAGAGATCCATTTCGACTCACTACCGGGTTTCCGGTCCCGCCCTCCCCGTAGACAACCATTGTCTCCAAGTATTCCACCGTCCATTCAAACTCACAAATCTCCACTTCCGGTCCACATTTTGGGACCACTTCCTGTTCAAACCCGACAGCAAACGGTAACCAAACGAACAACAATGAAATACAACTGATGTAGCACTTCATCTTGAAAGTTTCCAACTGAATATTTAACGGTTTACTCCTGTGTTTATATACACCCAACGGTCCCTGGACGTCCAGCGTCCCACTATCACCGTGATACCTGTACCGGGTGTCAACTATCGCATTGTAAACACATTTGTATTTATTATAGATAAGAACAAATCATATGGTCCAATCAGTGATGCAAGCTGCATAAAAATCATTTCGCCGAAAAAAACGTGAAAACTTTCATTGATGTCTGGTATCGAGATCAATATACGTAGTGTTATTGTTGTTGTTGATTATATTTACCCCTTTAAACTGATTTCCTATAGGAAAGTTAACAAATTTGGAAGGAGTTTTGTTTTTAATGTTTATATTTATTAACTCGACTTCGCCAACGTTTATCCTCACGAAAAGTGTCACCATGTAAAACACATGTAACAGTTATATTGGTATTTACCGTAATCTACATGCTTATCTACCTCAAGTTCATTATTATAATCTTTACGAAGAAAAATATATGTATTCTGTCTGTGTTATTGTTGAGGACAAAAAGAAAATAACAGAAGATCATGTCATACTCGATGCGTACGTGACAAGTCCACAATTCAGGCCGTTTTTATCAACCGCACTGAGAGTCACATACCGGATGTGTGATGAGAGTTATCTCTCCCTCACCCGTCGCTGATAGACAGAAAGATTAGATTCAACAAATTACACATAAACTTAACAACTCACGTCATATCTATTTTAATATAAAACAGACATTAATGCAGCTTTAGTTAACAGTAAAACAGAAAGATCTCAACCATAGAAGCGAAATTATAAAATGTTTAGCTTGAGCCTAGACGTACTGCCATTGACTGAGTGAGCGCTTGTAGTGATTTGTCTTCGTTCTAGGTAATAGACAAAGAAATTAAGATCTTTCAAAATAGTGGACACACCTGTTCGAGATGGAAGAATGTTCTGTCTTACCAACGAATCTGGAAATCTTTAATTCATCAGCCTCAGTCCGGAAGAAACTCTGTAACGGAGTATTGTACTTGACTGTTTCACATTTATATCATAAAATAAACTTACTAAGATTTTATCTGTAGCGAAACAGTTTATAATAATTAATTAGATAGATAAACAAGAATGTCGTATTGTGTTTTTCTGTTGTTGTTTTCTTGCATGATCTTTAAAGACAAATATTACGGTGCAATATATGTAAAAAATCAATGCATTGAATTAAAAAATAAATTAGGCATTTAAATAATTAGATATGGGAAATTGGGTATACAGATACAGTCTATCTGGTCTACGCAAGATATAAAGTTACAAGAATCAACATGTGAGTGTGGAATCTACTTTTGTAAGATATTTTGTAATGCTGAAAATCCTTTCAAAATTAAAATTATAAAAAAATGTCGTATTTAATATTGGCGTTTGGTTTTCGGCTCTAGATCAATGTCCCCCAATCAATGACCCCCAACAAAGCCGGACATGGTGACCTCCCTCTCAGAATTCACAACAAAAGGATTAACTTAAATCCTGCTTCGTATTGGCTCTAGATCAATGACCCCCAACAAAGCCAGATATAGTGACCTCCCTCTCAGAAATCACAACAAAAGGATTAACTTAAATCCTGCTTCGTATTTTCTCTAAATATTTGAAAATAATTGGAAAATGTTTCATAAACATTTAAGTGTATTTTTCGGGAGGCAAACGCCTTCTGCGCCCAAAAGCAAAGGGACCTCGGTTTTGCCCGACCATTAAAACAGAACAAAACGTCTGTTGCCCCAATCTCAGTCTGATCGATTGATGTCCAAAGTTGTGAGCGAAGATTGTAAATATATGTGTGTAATATCAGTTGGTATAGGGTCAGCGCTGAAACTTAAATTCATAGCTTCTTTCTCGGTTACTATTTTGTACATTTATCCCCCATTTCCCTCATTCCTAGTGGAACATCAAAGACAGGCAATACAGCATGTCAGTTGAAAGCTTTTACACTTGAGCAAAAACGAGTATCAGTAAAAAATATCATTTCTAAAAGCGCAATTATGAATAAACATTGAAGACAAATATATCTGTTTGTTTTATAGAATAACAGTGGCTAGTGATACACTCCTGTACTATACAGTATACACTACCGTTCCTACACTTAACCAATGTTGTCATCCAGATATTGTGAACGCATAGTATCAAAATGAATTGTGAATACCTTGCAAAGGGAAGTAACTCTAAACCAGTGCTTCTCCTATTTGTTGCTCTATCCTCTATATACACGGGAGAATACTCCAATTCGAACTCTACGTGGAACTCTCCTTCGCGGAGATAACTTGTACAGTGGTATCTATGTCTTTAATTTATCATAAAAGATGTAGTTTCTGTCAATTCCCGTTGACAAAATGTCTAAGAACAGGATCCCAATGCATTTTTAATGTAGAAATATCCGAGTAGACAATATAGTGAGTTATTTATAGTAACAGTCCCTCTACCGCCGACATCCATACAAATCCCCTCCTCATCCCCAATCCCTCCCACTGCCGTGTATAAACACTGGGTTTGAACTGATAATACACCTCCGTCCTGTTCAATAACATTGAATCATCACAGACGCGTGCATTGCACGAGAGTTACTCGTTGTTGTAGGTATGCCCGTGTACATAGCTGGCCTCTTAGTCATCTATAAGCTACATCATACACCAACTGCTGATGTAATCAAGCTCACCCAATTACTAGCCTTAGAGGGCACTAACTCTACATGAACTGTTTGTTAAAACATACTCAATGTTTCAGTTAGACTTTCGTTTTACAGCTCAATATAAAGTTAAGCAATAATGCATTATATTCCTACGATATATCATGGTATTGATATCCCAAACTAGACTAAAACTAGTTGTTATCTTACTGTAATACAGTTAATCCTTTTCCAAATGTTCCACGCATGTACATTTTCTGAACGGTAGTTTAAAAATTCAAATAATGACAAAGTAGTTCAGAAAGTACTAAACAAAAGATGGGGGCAGGTAGGCCATTACTTATTTGACCAATATAAGGACTATATCGCCGTTTACAAAGTGACGTCGGCCACCACGGACACGTCTGACTCCCCGATCACGTCTGTTACCCTGGACACGTCTGTTACCCTGGACAAGTTGGACACGTCTGTTACCCTGGCCAAGTCTGACTCACCGATCACGTCTGTTACCCAGGACACGTCTGTTACCCTAGACAAGTCTGTTACCCTGGATGACTCCCCGATCACGTCTGTTACGCGGGACAAGTCTGTTTCCCTGGACAAATCTGCCTCCCCGATCACGTCTGTAACCCTGGACACTTCTGTTACCCTGGACAAGTTTGACTCACCGATCACGTCTGTTACCCAGGACACGTCTGTTACCCTAGACAAGTCTGTTACCCTGGATGACTCCCCGATCACGTCTGTTACGCTGGACACGTCTGTTACCCTGGAAAGGTCTGTTACCCTGGACACGTCTGACTCCCCGATCACGTCTGTTACCCTGGACAAGTCTGACTCCCCGATCACGTCTGTTACCCTGGACACGTCTGTTACCCTGGACACGTCTGTTACCCCGGACAAGTCTGACTCCCCGATCACGTCTGTTACCCTGGATACGTCTGTTACCCTGGACAAGTCTGTTACCCTGGACACGTTTGTTACCCTGGACACGTCGGTTACCATGGACACGTCTGTTAACCTGGACACGTCTGACTCCCCGATCACGTCTGTTACCCTGGACAAGTCTGACTCCCCGGTCACGTCTGTTAACATGGACACGTCTGTTACCCTGGACACGTCTATTACCCTGGACACGTCTGTTACCCTGGACACGTCTGACTCCCCGGTCACGTCTGTTACCCTGGACACGTCTGACTCCCCGATCACGTCTGTTCCCCTGGACACGTCTGTTACCCTGGACACGTCTATTACCCAGGACACGTCTGTTTCCCTGGACACGTCTGACTCCCCGATCACGTCTGTTACCCTGGACACGTCTAAA